CAAGAGCCGGCAATACTAACGGGTATGTGATCGTTGCAATGGATAATTTCTACATAAAACAATAGTTCATAGTAACCTTTAAACCAAATGGATGGGTGGCCTCGATTCTCATGGCCGTAAAGTTGTTTTATGAAAAAATACTTCAAGAACCATAAGCGCAACAAATAAGAAATAGTACTTTGCGGTGTAGGGGGTTCTCATCATGTGCGGCAAACACTTTATTAACACAATTTCATGTTTCTTTTGATGCTTATCATCTTGATCAGTTCATGTCGACAGTATGATTCTCTTCGCCATGTCTTCTCGTACCTACCAGAACTTCTGCGTTAATTCAAGGTTGTCAATGTAATTGTACCTGCAGGGTCCTTATTCTTAAAACAGGGAAGCAGCGTTCTCATGAGAACGAAGGTTCTGTCTTCGTCACTCATATTCATATTTCCATAACACTGACAAAGACAAAACCTTCGTTTTCATGAGTACGCTGTTCCCCGGTTTCGAGAATAAGAACCCTGCTGTTCTGTGCCATCAGACTTTTCATGCATACGTTTTTCATCGAATCGATTTTGTATGAGCCTTTTATGCGTCCGTAGTTAGAGCTATCTAATTTGTGCTTGATTTCGGTAGTTCTTTATTATTGTTCTTCTATGTGTTATTTTTTCTTGGCTGGTCTCATTTGTTATTTTTGTATCTTTTCAGGCTTCACCCAGGTATACTCGTTTAGTTGACGGTGTTGAAAGAAGTTATTGAAGATTCGAAGTTTTGGTCGCATATATTTATTTATCTACTGCCGTTGTCTTTTAGAGTGTCTTCTGCGCATTGGCTTCATATTTTATCTCCAACTTTTCCACTACCTCTTGCAGTAGGGTCTCATAGTATCAGTAATTCTATTGAAGTTTATGATGAATGATGATCCTATTTTTGAAATTTTATATGATAGTTGTTCTTTTATTAGTTTTTCGTCATTTAAAGCGTGACTTTACTTCCATGCAAGCATATATTATATTTACTACTATGATGCGTGTAATTACTGCTCCCAGCCTACATAGATAGCCATGATAATTTATGTGATATAATCTAATTCCACAATGAAACACCATTTTAGACTTTTGCGAATAAGTATAGACACACATGACAGTTCTGTTGATAGCCGTCCTGCGGCAATCCTCCAGTCTTTAACTTCTTCTTTTACAAATCAAAATCAGTTCTTTTCATAACCTACACGTGTTTTTGATGTGTTTTTAAACGTGTGTGAGTATTTTTCGCGTTGTTTTGTGGTTGGTCATCATCAACTCGTATCCCAGAAAAAATTGAGCGAGCTATAGAGAAATGATAGAAAATCAAAAAAATCATCAGTTCGTCGTCTCTCCACACAAGTCGGAGTAGTCGGACTATCCTTGGGGACATCATTATCTTCACCGCTTATACGATGACAGCAATGCAAGTGTTGAAACCCCCTGATCTTTCCCGGCGCCGGCGCGCTCTTATTGCCAATGGTTCGTTCATGAAAAATGTGTACGATAATCAACATCTTCTTGCATCAACATTTTTCACTAATGAAGCATGGTTTCACAAAACTGGATGCATAGGCTTCCAGAATGTGAAGCTATGAAGCGCGGAAATTCCTCATGCGATAATTAAAACGCCTTTGCATCCTGAAAAACTAGGTGATTAAGCAACAATAATTGGATCCGTATTTTTGTTAATGGTAATTTTTTTTTTCTTTTTTTTTGGCCAATATCATAGTAAAATCTGTAAATTTAGAGGAAATATCAATGTAATCCGCTATCGAACAGAATCTTGCAACCATTTTTCAAAGGTTTGCAACATGATGAACTTCAGCGAGGCTACTTTCAGCCAGATGGAGCAACATCTCATCGCACACAAGACACTTTGGATTTGGATTCATACTTCACGAAAATTGTGATAACCGGGTTACAGGCAGAAAAACACACACTTCTTATCCCCCCAGATCGTGCGATTCATTTTTTTTCCACTCTGGTTACCGATGTAGATAAGCTACGCCATCGTGTAACAGAGAAAGTCCAAGATATATTTACAATCCTCAACTGTTCCAAAATATGTCTAATTCTGTAAGCAAAAGGGTTTTAAATTGTATTCAAGTAGGGGGTGGACATGTTCAATATCTTTTGTATTAAAATTATTAATTCACCTACCATTGGCTTTTTTGAATTTTGAAACAGGTAGGAGGAGAGGTTAGGAGCAAGCCGCACATTCGAAAATCCGCCGAAAAATCCAGATTCCATTGAGATACCGCTTGTTGAGTAAATTCTTCTTCAGTCGTACATATTTCACATATTTTGTATTAAAAACTAATAAATTCAAGAAATAAGATGATACTATAGGTCTGTTCGCAGTGTTCGCACAGAAATCACAAACCAGTCAGGGCATTGGGTGAAAACAGTCAGAAAACTAGTACCAACCAATGAAATTCACTCTGACTGGTTTGTGATTTCTGTGCGAACAGACCTTCAAGTTATAGTTGCTGTCAAACCATATGAACCTATCAACGGACCTTCGTTCATGATAGAGAAAGAGAACCCCAGGCAACTACGATCTTAAAAATTATTGAACATACGTTAAAAATATTTAAAATCCTTCGTTTGCGTTCTCTTCTTTTATTCAGTCGGTTCCGAGATGAATTTTTGGACGTTTTAACCTTTTTCTCATTTGATGCCGATATCTCAGCTTCAATTACTAGCTCTGATTTCCGAGTGTCTCGTCTCTCCTAGACAGACCAACTGCCTTCTCTAAACTTGTATATAAACTTCCTTTTAATTTGACTGGCTTGTCGGGCTTGCCATTGGCTCCTTTTTGCCCTTGTGATCTTTGACCGTTTTCCTGGGCAAGGGATTCCGCCAGGCCAACTGAACTCTGTTTAGCGAGGTCGTTACTTCCTCGTCTCGTCCTTCTTCATCTTTTAAGTCTTCAAGATTGAGACTTACAGCTTTCCTGATAGTTGTCTAATTTGGATGGTAATGTGTCACTAGTTAGTATTTCTGCTAATAGTTAGTATTACATTCCTTCTTCAATTAGTTTCTAAACTTTACGATTCAATGTTGCAATGCTCCTCTTACATTAAAAAAAAGTAATTGTAATAAAGAGTCAGACAATACCTACACTACACTTAAATTTCAGAAAATCAAAAAAATTAATTCTCCTCTGTTTTTGTATTTTTCGACATATTCATTGAAACTTTTCAAATTATTGACTTCCTGTAAATAAAACTTTATACTTTTGGCGTGAACTATAATTATTTAAAATTGGTATAAAAGCGTCAGATCTTTGCCGAAATCTTGCATTATTAATTTTTCACTTCGCGAAATTTGTATCTTGGGGTGTTTTATCACTTGAGAAAAAAAAAATCAAAGGATAATAATAATTATTATAACTAGGTAACTATTTTTCAAGAGAGAAGAGAATATTAAACTTTATGACAGGCTTCTGGGCTAAATTGACATAAATTTGTAAATATTAAGCTTTAGAGTATTATTCAGTGTTATTCTAGACTAGAAACACAATTGTTGTCAATCCTGTTAAATTCTTTATTCTTGCGCCAGCCCAGCATATAGGTAATGCTCTAAGGAAAAGAGTTCCGTGTCTCAAATAAAATTGCCTTTTCAGGCTTAAAAATGACAATTTCACGGAAGGAGGGTTTTTAAAAATAGCAACTTCACTAAATTACTACGAACTACGGGCCCAGATCAGATGTATGCAAAAATAAACTCAAATATGGCAGTTCCATGAGGAGACTGGTTTTAGATTGGAACAGAAGTAACTCCGATGACTCAGTGACCATAGGGAATTGAAAATCACCATACACTTTGATCATAGTGACAAACTTTAAATTTGTGAATGGGGACTTCTGGAATTCAGAAGCTTTACAATGATAATTTGGTAACATTTTTGCATTTTGCATACAGCACTCACTTACTTGTAAAATAAATTATAATAGCTACGAACTGGATTTGCCAAGAATAGATATCAAAGTTTAATTAAATAAAAAAAACCACACAGTTTACGTTTTAACTGCTGAGCTGAGCGTTAAGCTTTTATAGGTAAGTACTAATTTTTTATCCCAAAATCTGTTTTGAGATTATTACGGCAGAATGGTATATTCAATTAAAGGATATTGAACGCTGCTTCTTTCATAAATTATATCATAATCACAGTTTACTCACTAAAGACACTCTACATAAAACATATCCCAATCAAACATCTATATTGAAAAAGATATTGCCTTGCTTTAGGGCTTCATATACACATAGAAACAAGCCTTGCCAATAAAATCATAAATTTCCTTCAATACCCTTCGTTTGTACTATTTTTTACTTTGCCTGGTCTCAGGTCATTGCTTGCATGCCTTCGAACAATTTTAAAACATTTAAAGAAGTAGGTACATTTGAAAGCCTCTAATTTTCTTCATATAGGAATTCATACGGAACATGATTTTCCTTCGACTTATATAGGATGTGAAGAAGTCGATATTTTTAACAGGGTTAAAGTACTGAAATTGCACCTAGTTTTAAAATATAAAATACATTAAGGTCATCAACTATTGAAAACCCAGACGTTACTCAACATTTAGGCCATGCAAGTAAGTCAATAATTCACCGGCCTCCTATAACCGATAAAGTTTTATTGGCATCAGCTTTATATAAAGTAGTTGTGTACAGAAATAGCCTCAGAACGCCAATCAGACCAAATGGATAGTGACTTGAAAATAGTTTTTTTTTCTGATGATTTAATTTTTTGATTAACAGTTTTGTTAAATTCAAGCACTACTATGTTTTTTTGAAATTTGGTATATAGATATTGTAAGCTATTTTATACATTGTAGAGGCTACTTTTATACCTAAATCTAATAAACGCTCCTAAATAGATACTAAAGCAAAGCAAGACATTTTTTCGTGTTAGACTTATCGAATGTTTATTGTAACAGTAAAGTGTTGTATAGGTAGAAAAAAATCCATAATTTTTACCTCGATTCGCGCCACTTGAAAATAATCCACCACTCCACTTTTCTTGGGGGCGCTCGAGAGCACGTTTCGCGTTCAAGCGCGAAGGAACTGAGGGGGTCGTCGCGACGCGCCGGAAATATTGCGCTTTACGTTACGGCGTCGACACGAGGTCGATGGCGCCGTCGCGCCCAGAGGAACGAAAACACGGTAAAGCTGGACAAATTTTTTCTGAGATTCACAAATAACCATTTCTTGGAACAATTAAGAACGATGTCTTCGTAAATTAAATATTTTTTAGGAACGAATTTGTAGCACTTTCCCCTGTCCATTACTTACAGCATAAAATTGCTCTACCTATATAATTAGATTTTGATTGCCTACTTTTTAAACGCTAATCATCATATCAGGCAATTGACCCGAGATCGAATGACCATGATGGGTTCAAACAAATAAAGTTGCTATGATTATAATAATGTCACAGATTCCGCAGATCCACTAAAACACTCTAGACTTCACTAACATCAACATTCATTCAGCATCCCTATTGTACTGATTGTCGCATCTACCTAGTATTTTTATGCAACAATAGACCTTGTAATGACCCGGGAAAAATAGGCCTGTACTTTACAATGTCTTTACCTACTGTAAAAATTAAAGGTAATCAAATAATCAAAAAATTGAATTTCCAATATTTCATCTCAGTATCAATAACTTGAAAGATGATGAAACAAATTAGCATTGACCCAAATTAATTAAAATATTTATATCGGTACGTTCAAATTTTAAACAAGCCATCAGTGACCAAACACGTGTCATCATTTGAACTCGTAAAAGATAATTTAGAAGGTTAAGCACCTAATTAAATTGGACCCAAAATGACAAAAATTTCGAACAGATTGCATCATCCTCTAAATAATGAAATTAATTTTTGGAATAATATCTAGGTCGACTAATAGAATTGATTTATAGATGGTCAAACGACCGCCTATTGTCGATTTTGGTGGATAATTATTAATATTTTGGGGGAAATCGAAATATAAAACAGGCGGTTTTAGAAGTGGAAGTTGAGTTGGCAGTTTAGTCCAGTTTGAGTTAAAGTCTACAGTACCTAATGAGTCAGTCCGAATAAAATTCGCGAAGAGTTTTTTTTATTTTTGCCTCGGGGAAAACGCGTTTGATTGAATTTTGAAAAGGTAACGGAAAATTTTTAAAGAAAGAACATTTAAATTCGTTCAACATTATGTGCGAGCTCTAGAGATTTTTGGAGTAAATTAATTACGTAATTTTACGAGTGAAAAGTTAAATGTAAGTACTCTAGTGACTAGTAAAACTTTTTGACTTTATAAATGATGAATGATAAGAAGTGAATTGATATGGAACTTCAATGAATAAAAACTTGAGTGATTTGACTGTAAAACTTTTATTGCATCACTTTAATTACCTTCGAGTATAATGACATTTTAATTAATTTTGCAAAGAATTAACAAAGAAAAAATTATAATGCTCTTAACAATATTCGATTTTGAGTAGGAATTATTAAAGAATGTTGAATTGGATTGTCCAATTGAAGTTTAAGGGCTAAAGTAACGAACTAATAAGAATTGAATAATTGTGTATGTTGGCTAGGAATCCGAAAATAGTAATTGTTCTGATTAAATTGATCCTTAGTTAAAAAATAAACCATTTGTAACATTTTAATTTTGCTCTTCCCATTAAATGAGTAATTCAGCGTTTTAACTGGTAACACACAAATATTATTATAGAGCTGACTTAATTGATTGGATATTAATTACCTTACTTTGCATCTTTTTAGATAATTTCAGGCACAGCCAGACAAGATTTTGCTCCTTATCATTTGTCTAATGATTTAGTTGACCATTGCAGATGAATATTTATTGAACAATGCCTGGTTATCTTATTCTTGTTGTCCTTAAAAGGAATATACATAAATTATCAATTTCATTAGTCGATAGCCAACATTGTTTTGATTTTCAAATAAAAAGGGGTTATGTCCAGTTAATTGTCATTCAATTTTATTTTCGCGCCAGCTCGTTTCGAAGGATTAATTCCTTTAGTTTTCACTCCCTCTCTGTCTCTCTCTTACTGGAGGATTTCATTTCTTTTATTTACCTGTTATCGAGTACCTATATCGATCAATTTGCTGGTACTTTGGTTTTGATCGCGTAGGGTTGGGTTTTTCTATAAATGTCGATATAATTGGTGTCGTGTTAGAGAAGGCATGGACAATATTATTTAATAAGTGAAGTTATTTATAGATTTTAACGAGAATAGTGTTTTCCTGATTTGTGTGGATTGAGTCGGTTCCATTTGTTGAGTCCCTTTGGAGGTTTCGCTGACGACTATCGATATCTTTGTCGTTATCTTTCAATCCTTCCTAAAGTGTGGAATGTGGAATTCGATAGAAAAAAATGTAACATAAAAAAAAGTGAGTGCGTAGAAATTTCTGGTTTAGGGTCCCAAAAATCGTACAACGGTCTTTTCCATTTCGTCCAGCGACAAGAACACTTTGGCTTTGGCCTGAAGAATAGTTTTTTTATCCGGTTGACCATAAAGAAAATTAAGTGATTTTCTCTATTTAATTAGGATCAGGTCATCCAGATAATTTCAATTTTGGTTTTGCCAGTCTAGTTTTGGTTTTTGTTACCTTTTGGCAGCCAAATCACCTTTCTAAGGGATTTATCTATTTCTTCTAGTCGGTAAGTCCACCATTTTGTGAATTTGTTTTATTGTAAATTAATTAGTCCTATTCTTACAATAGAATATCATTCACGTCGCTTGGATTGAATTGCTTGAGCCTAGACTCTTAGAGCCTTGATTTTATTGTTGCTCGTTATTGTGAACTTCCAAATTGGATCAGCCAGCGTAGGTGAAATTAGAGTTCCATGACGTTCCTTTCACCTTCAACCTTTGAGCTGTGGCCTTCAAAAATCCACGAGGTAATTATAATTGCAATTTTCCATTTTAATGTTTTATTGGGGGACCATTCTATGCCACATTGATTGGTAGACTTATAGTTTTTTTTTATTTTAATATTTTTTTGGCAATGCAACTTAATTTAATGAATTGAACTCATTATATTTGGTAAATGGGTTAAAACTTGGGAATTGAAATGTACAATTTCATATCCCAAGTGGCATAATTTCAATGGGGATTTAAGGGTAATTTATTTACTCATTGGTGCTTTCTTTAGGGTCTTAAGGTACGGTTTTATGCTACCGTTTTCGATAACGCAACTCAGTGGATGTTTTGATGGTATGCACTACCCACCACTGTATCTGAATAGCAAAGACTCGGCGAACTAGTTTTCATTGATGAGATAGATCATCTGGTACGAGTGTGAAATCCCAGACCCATTGTTAATTGTCGGCATAAAGCTAAGTAGTTTAGTGTATTTTTTTTTATTAATTATTTAAAAATATCGTATATGGCTTAGGTAACTTTAGTTACTCACATTTAAGTAAACATTTGACCCCATTTATTTGCGGAGTGATCACTGACGCTGGGTGTGTGTTAATTCGCACTTATTGGTTATTTTAGTTTTAAGTATAGCTCTCTGCTTACATAGGTATTCATACATATCAATACCGACAGACAGTTTTCTTAAATCTGACTATGAGGAAGCCTTTAGGTTCTTTATTCCTGCTAGTCGTCATACTAGCCTCTGAATACTTGTCATAATCATTATTTACTCACCATAACTTGTACTAAATCAATACTTAATATTCAATAAATACTGATTTTGTTGTATTGCCAATTACCTGCTTTCTTTGTCTTTTTGCTTATCCAATTATTTTCTTACATTTCAGGCATAATAATTTGGTTTGTACTTTAGTTCAACCTGCAGTCATCGCAGGACTTTTCCGATTTAATTTCAAAAATTGGTGGCGCACGAATCCACGAACCGGGCACGTGGACACTTTAACAAACTCTGTTGAACTAAGGTCGCAATCCAAATAAGGTTACATTTTGGTAATTGATTTTTCTTACGTAAAATAAAAGTGTTACACATTAAATGTAATGGAAAGGTTTGAAAAGAAACTTGTTGTTCATGAAATGAGATTTTTGTCGTTAATCATTGAAAGTAATGGAAAGCTTGGTTTAAAAACTGTTGTTCTTCATGAAATAAGATTGTTGTCGTTAATCATTAAAAGTATTGGAAAATTTTGTTTGAAAATTGTTGCTCATGAAATAACATTGATGACCTTAAGTACTGAAATTTTGATTTAGGGTTTTAATCATTTAGAAATTATTGTAAGGTTTTTTTATAAAAATATAGTTGGTAATACATATATACTTGATCCAGTGAGTCGTAATATGACTTAAATAATTATTTTGCATAAGCAGTAAGTAAATGACTTAGGAGTTTTAACAATTTATAGATATAGGTAAAGGGTAGTTTTAATAGGAATGTGAATCGGAAGTGTTGTAATGTATAAACTTATAAGTTATTAGGAAAAGAAGAAGTAGGGCATTTTTTTTTTTTTGTATGGATATTTCCTGGTCCGTAGTAATGAAATTTGAACGGATATGAAATAATTTGAGTTGGGAAAAATAGAAGTGGCTGTCAGACATAAAAAGCTATTTGCTTATTTTAATTTTGGTATTAAGTATAATAAAATATAATTAAGTAAACCTCAATAGTTTGTTTCTCTCTTTTGCGAAGAGACCCCCTCCACAATTTTATAGGTAGCCGCTCAAGGAAATAAGCACCATCAATATACCGCTCGCCATTTACCATCTAACTAATTAAATAGAGTACTTGAGTGCGTCTTGCTACAACCTATTTCGCATAAATAGAAAAAGAGAGCTTAATTGTAATAAATAAGTTAGAAAGTAATGAAAGATGACATGTGCGCGCAACTCGTGGCTGCCGTGTAGCCAGATTGTATTGTTGGAGAACAAATGTAGACAATACGAATCGAACATTATAACATTAAAGGAATGATATAGTGTCAAGTGTTTTACAACGCCTTAAATCAGACAAAAGAAGAGCTTTAAAGTGAATGTTAACATCGTTAGCACTTTTATTTTGATAAACGTTTCATCCGGCAACGTCGCACAATGAAATAGC